GATCGGCAGCGAAATTCGCTTCTCGAAACACATGCACAAGGACCACCGACCAGTCGCGATCCCGTAGTTCTCTTATTGCCCTAACGAGACTACCATGAATACTACTCACCTCTTCCGTTCCCATAACCATGCTAATCACGCTACTATTGTCCACTTCCGCCACCACCTTACGAGTGCCCAAATTCCACGCAAGAGATAGCCCATGAAAGAGGCCCCACAGCTCGGCTCAGGTAATGGAGCAAATACCAATTTCTAACTTGTTGAGTCATATACACTTGCACACATCTATGTGAGTACATCGAGCCGACAATACAAATATGAGTGTATGGTTCAATTGTAGAGGTAGAAAAATTTAGTTAAGCGCACCCCTAAAGTGTTAAGACTATGTTTGGTAGATAAATAAGCTAGCTTATAGTTTATTTGTTTAGTTTATAAACTCCTTGTATTTAAATAAGTCTCGTTTGATAGGTCGAGCTTTTTTAAAAAACTCGAACTTATTTGATAAACTTCCTTAGGTAGCTTTTCAAATAAACTAGTTGAATTTTTTTTTATTCCAACTAGTTTATCAGCTAATTTTACCAAACACTTTTATCCTATAAACTAGCTTATCGGCTATAAGTCATAAGCTATAAGCTATAGACTAAAAATTAACCCATACCAAAAATGATAATATTTTCAAAATTTCAGCATTATTATTATTATTATTATTATTATTATTATTATTATTATTATTATTATTATTATTGGTAAAATTCGACACTAATGAATATCACACAAATTCTATCGTTGAAAAAAAAAATCACAAAAAATTACAAAAAATATCTGTTTTACAAGTTCAACAATGTCCGAAACACCACCCAGCAGTAGCAACGCCTCCTTCCTCCTACGCTGCGGCCGCGCGTATCCAATCATAGCCTCCGCCGCTAAAAGAGAGATTCCCAAAGCATAAAGGATACACAATTATCGCCTGTGCCTTTTTTTCACTTTATTTAACGCCATTATTGCTGCTCCATACACTATAATATGCGCATTCACAAAGTCTACCATTGCTTCTCCATCCTTCACATCCCCAAGCAGCCACTCCTTCTCTCCTCATCTCCTCACTTTCTCTCTCTAAAACCCACGCTCCGTCCTCCTCTCAAGTTCATCAGACCTTGCTCGTCTTCTTCGTCAGTCGTCCGAGCCGGAGGGATGAGATTCCGCAGCATCGCGCCCGTTAGCGCAGCGGAGGGCGACGGCGGCTCTAACGGCGCTGCTCGTTCTTCTCCCGCGGTCGTTGATTACGGAGGTAGCTATTGGTTATAACACGCGATTTGTATTTGGTTGCGTTTTCGGTGATTTAACCTTATCCCTGTTGTTAGCTGGAATTAGTTCTGGATGTGTTGATTGTTGAGTAGGAGAAACTCCTTTTTTTTTAATCTAATTGCTAGTGAATTTGGTGTCGATGTTGATTAGAACACGCGACATTTGATTGCATTTATGTGTTTTAGTTTTAGTCTTGTTATTAGCTGGAATTAGTTCTGGTTATGTTGATGAGAGTTGGAGAAATTTTTTTTTTTTATTTTTTTATTTTTATTTTTTTTTTAATTGCTATTGAGTTTGTTGTCAATTGAGCTATGCGGATTGAGAGTAGAAGGATAATCTGGACTTCGTTACAGTGGAAGTTGTAGTGGATTGAGCTGTTACTTTCCAGTAATGTTTATCGGTTTACTATGTTTTGTTAGATGCTTATCACTGTCTTCTATATGTACTTGCTCAGTTGCTCTGTTTTGTGACGATGGTTTGCTGTCGAATTGTTTATGAACTCGACAGTCTACCTTCACATTGCATTTTTAACTGTCTGTTGTTTGGTCTTGTGATTAAGGATTTGCCGCATCTTTTGGATTTTACCATTTTGTCTGCTTTTCAAAGTGATTGGCAATCCCATGTAAATTCGTAAGTCTATGTTGCCATTTTGTACCGAATATGACACTAGCTGCTCGAACCAAATGCAGCCCAACACATCAGTCTTTGTGATCTGAGCTAGATATTTTTTGGTTTCTCATGTGCTGCAGATTCAAATGGATATTGTCTTCCCCCACCGGAGATCAGGGATATTGTTGATGCTCCACCGCTTCCAGCACTATCAATGTCTCCTCATAGAGACAAAGTACTATTCCTCAAAAGGAGGTCATTACCTTCTTTGTCAGAATTAGCAAGGCCTGAGGTGAAGCTTGCCGGTATCCGGATTGATGGAAAATGTAATTCCCGGAGTCGAATGTGAGTTACACATCTGTACATTGACTTCACAAGTACCCTTTTTCCCCTCTCAAAAACCAAACTCGTGAGGGGCTTTGTATTATGCTAGCTTTGCTTGACGTCTTCTTGTTGTTCTAGATAAAAAATGCTTTACTGGTCATTTTCAGGTCATACTATACTGGTATTGGAATCCACCAGATAATGGATGATGGTACTTTGGGTCCTGAAAAAGAAATATATGGCCTCCCCGATGGTGCTAAAATCAACTTTGTCTCGTGGTATACCTTGAGCCTTTCACTAGTTTTATTATTATAAAGTTTTAGTTGGCCTCCAAATGCTTTGCGATACTAAGCAGGACATGAACGTGATTGATTGTTTACTTTCAAATGAAGATAATGCTCTTCATTGTGAAGTCCTTACTTTGTAAACTTGTCCAAACATGAGGTTGTAAACCTTTTCTGGTAAAAGTCCCAATATTCTGGCTGCTTCTGGCCTATATAAGTTCAAGTTTGGATTCCATTGAATGTGGAGTTCTGAAGCAGCATCAGATACTTCTCTTTAGTTATCTTATGTTAATCAGCTTGTTGATCCTGTACATGGTAGGACATGATGAATTGGTAGTATATACTCTATAGATATAAATGATTTTTTAGTCCTGTTTCTTCCAGAAATTTAACATTTCGTATGTTTATCATCCTGCCAAATTTTCACTTCATCTTTTGATTTTTTTTTTTTTCTAAACTAGGTCAAGAGATGGCAGCCATTTGGCCTTTGCTGTACGGACCGATGAGGTACTTTTTTCAATCTTTTATATCAATGTTGTCCATGAATATTATTGCCCATTATACATCTTGCTTGATTTGTTGCTTTACTGCCAATAAACTTGTTCATAAACTTGCTGGTTTGCTCAAATGAAACATTGATGATACCAAATCTTGATTAGTCACAACCTTTTAGTGCCTTAATACAACGCTATGCCTCTGTTTTCATCTTGCCAAGTTTTTTCACATTATGTTTCACATATATCCTGTGAAACTTGAACTAATCCTCTCTTATGATAAAATAATTGGTACTTTCGGCTCCTTGAGCAGGAGGATGGAAGCAGTAGCAAGCTAAGATTATGGGTGGCGGATATTGAAACTGGAAATGCTAAATCCCTTATCCAGGCTCCAGATATTTTTCTAAATGCTGTTTTCGAGAAGTATGTTCTTAAGGATCTAGACATTTCTATGGACTTATAAAGCATTCCTTACATTTCTAAATCTCGTATTTATTTTCCCTTCTCAGCTTTGTGTGGGTAAATGACTCAACCTTGTTGGTTTGTACCATTCCTCTATCACGCGGTAATCCACCTAGGAAACCTTTGGTTCCCCTTGGTCCTAAGATCCAATCCAATGAACAAAAAGATATCATTCAATCAAGAACCTATCAAGATCTTCTGAAAGATGAATATGATGAAGATTTATTTGATTATTATGCAACTTCACAACTCGTTCTGGTATCTCTTGATGGGTCAGTGAATCCAGTTGGGCCTCCGGCTATATATACATCATTGGAGCCATCTCCGGATGATAAATTCGTTCTGATTTACTCAATGCACAGACCATATTCTTTTACTGTACCTTCTTCGAGATTTCCCAAGAAAGTTGATATTTGGACAGCCGATGGGAAATTTGTCAGGGAAATTTGTGATCTACCACTTGCCGAGGATATTCCTATTACACATAACAGTGTCCGGAAAGGAAAACGTTCAATCCAATGGAGAGAGGACAAGCCGTCGACGCTTGTCTGGTATGCTTTCAAAGATTTTAAGACATTCCTAATGGAGATTTTTATTTGTATTAGATTTCCTTTCTCCTAAAAGTATTTGTGTACTATCTTGAGATTTATTATGTGCATTTTCCTTGAGGGACCTTTATGATTGTTAATGCACAGTGAGTCCGTGACTTTATTGTTGATGCATGTATTTATTCTCCTTTTTTCCTTTAAATTATAACTGTGAATGAAGGGTTGAGACACAGGATGGTGGTGATGCCAAAGTAGAAGTCTCTCCACGTGATATAATTTACACAGAACCTGCAGAACTACATGGAAACGAGCAGACAACAGTTCTGCACAAACTTGATCTTCGCTATGGGTAAGATTACGAACTGGCAGTTGTTTGTTATATTTTTCTCTTATGGATGGTTATCATCTACTAGTTCCTTACGTTCATTGTCTAACCACCAATTAATGCATATTGTATCTTGTGTTAGTCCCTGCTCGTTCACTGTTCAGGTAAGAAAAAATGCTTCGGCACAAACGGACACTTTTAGGATGAGAGAAGAAGATTGTGAATAACTCAATGTATTGAGTATTCAGTTTTTCAATTAATTTTTTTTACTCAAAATTATTTTTATTATATATTTAATTTAATAGCACAATATAATTTTCTTTTCATTATTTAACAAAAAATTGTGTATTTTATGATAAAATATAAAATTTAATACTATTAACAGAACTCTATGACAAATAAAATTAAATAAAAAATATTGGTTAGAAAATCTAAAATAAAATTAATATTTTTTTTTGAAATTTGAAATGCTGAAGAAATCTATGTCGTCCTTGATTTTGTTATTTTGTGATATCATCCTTATGCTCAAAATAATGATCATTATTATTGTGAAAATAATATCTTTTTTAATGTCTTCCTTTTGCGTCTTACTATTTGAATAATAACTCGAATTTACTATAACTATAATTTGTAATTATCATTTGCTTATTGTTGATTGGAAGCTGATACTGTGGTTGAATGTTTCGTTCTCTATTATTTTGATTATAACGGTTGCAAATTCAATTATATTTGCACGTGTAATATTTCGTAATATTTAGATATATATTTTCTCTCTGTAATGATATAAGAGATATAAATATTTGAAAATATCTTTAAAGTTGTAAATATTTAAAAAACAATTACTTGAAATTAGGAACAATAACATCCTTGATTAATTAAAGGTTCCCATCTATCTATATATAATGTTGTAACATTGGTTAATTGAAGTTGCTTATCTATATATATTGTCCAAAATAAATTATTGTTACATCTCCTAACACTGTCATACATGCATTATCATTTTCGTTCATGGATTTTCAAGACTATCTAAAAAGTGACAAAAATAATAATTCTATTTTAAATAAATTGTAAAATCATGATTCTTTCATATTTTACTTTTATCTTAACATTATTTTATATATTTGTCAATATTTTTACAAGGTTTATGTTTCCTAGTTTTAAGAAGTAATTTGAAAAATTAAATTTATCTATGATTTATAATAAGATAGTCTATTGAAATAAATTTAAAGTAAATGTAATATTTATTTTTATTTAATTAATTATAATTATTATAACTATATATTTTCTAACAAGTACACATATTTTGAAATTCAAGATTTTAAAATCAGAGTATTACTTATTTTATTTTATTTTTATAATTACTATATTTTGATTTCTATTACAATTAAAGTAAATAGTAGATTAATTTATGTAACACATATTACCATAAAAGAACATTTATACTGTATATACTGTTAGTATATACTACTAACAGATAAAGTTAAATTGTATCATGCATATATTTTAATGTATAATTTAAGCAAAGTATTTCTATTAAAACTATATATTTGCACTTAACTAATATTTTTTTTCCATAAAACATTGATATTTTATTATGTTGAATAACTATTTTAAATACTAAGAAAAATGAATGAAAAAAATAGCATACAAACATTTTAATACATTAATATTTAAAAAATTAATTAAAAAAATAACATACAAATATTTGGTAATTAATAAAAAACAATGAGAACCATAAGTTAATTGAATAATATATTTATAATAAAATAATACAATAAGAATAAAAAAGATTAATATATTATGACGTTGGAAAAAAACCAGTTAAATAGATAAATGTTTGGTTTCAATAAAAGGTTAGTTCAATTGATTATTTATTTTTTTTTTAATTTTTTTATTGACTTTGCATTACAAGAATTTTTAATATTTGTACAGAAAAAAAATCTTACTTTTGTAGTTGTGCCAATACATTATTTAAAAATTTGGATACCGGTCAATTTTTTTTTCAGTAGATTAATATCATAAAAATTATTAATTATAATATACACAAGGAATATTATAAGAAAAAATTGAGTACTATATCATGACATTCATGATTAAAACATCAAAATATGATTTAAAACGTTTTATTTGAAATTATTTGAAACAATTTTATATTAAGTCATGTGTTTTAATATTTCAGTTATTCTAATTAAAATTTAAATTGTTATTTGACAATTTTGATTGTTTATATTACAAGTAGTAAATGTATTTGGAATAAGACATAATATAAATTTTTGGAAGTAACATAATATAATACTTTTAGAAGTAACATTATTTTTTATTAGGGGCAGTAGTGACATTTCAGATTTTATTTCAATGTAGTTGGATGAGATATTAATGAAGTTATATTATTACATTTATGTCCTTAAATGGTAAAACTTTAGAGGGTAATATGGGCATTTCAAAATTTTCAAGTAATAACTCATCCTTATAGATAGATTATAGATTATAGATTATAGATATAGATGTTTACAAATAAAAACTGCATCCCTATTTATAAGAACTAAAACAACTACTCTAGTGGCTTTCCTAGAAATTATTTAAGTTGAAAAGTCATGAAAAATCAGCCTAAAATGGCTGCCATGAAAGTGCTTGCAGCTGCCAGGAAGTTGCAGTGCAGTAACAAGGAAACTGCATGGATTATATCTTACATCTTGGTGATTATTGTTTTTCCTTTTCAATAAAGTTTATTCAATTTTTCAATGATTAACCGATGCTGGCTATCCTGTTCTTCCTCACGCGCTCTCTGCTTTTAGAGGGATCTCCTGGTGTGATGACTCCCTTGCCTTAGTTTATGAATCTTGGTACAAAACACGAAGATTACGGACATGGATTGTATCACCTGGGAGTGAGAATGCAAATCCACACATATTATTCGATAGGTCCTATGAAGATGTTTACTCGGATCCTGGTTCTCCCATGCTCCGGAGAAACTCTACGGGCAATCACCTGATCGCGAAGATCAAGAAAGAAGCTGATGAAGGCACATATCTTTTACTGAACGGAAGTGGTGCTACTCCTCAGGGGAATATTCCATTTCTGGATTTACTTGACATGTGAGTTGAAATTGTTCCTTTCGCTATTGTTCATCCTTAAAAGCCATAATGATTTGAAATCTAACACCGGGATTTCAGAAATACAGGCAACAAGGAACGTATATGGGAGAGCGACAAGGAGAAGTACTACGAGAATGTCATATCCCTAATGTGCGATCAGGATGAAGGGGATATTCGTCTTGACCAGTTAAAAGTACTAACTTCCAAGGAATCCAAAACCGAGACCACGCAGTTTTATATAGTGAGTTGGCCGGAGAAGAAAGCAAGCCAGCTTACGAATTTCCCCCATCCATATCCTCAGCTTTCTACATTAACAAAGGAGATGATTAGGTACCAGAGGAAGGACGGGGTTCAGCTGACCGCGACCCTATATCTACCCCCTGGCTATGACCCTGCTAGAGATGGGCCCCTCCCGTGTTTAATGTGGTCATATCCTGGAGAATTCAAAAGCAAAGATGCGGCTAGTCAGGTGCGTGGTTCCCCGAATGCATTTGCCGGCATTGGTTCGACTTCTCCCCTTCTGTGGCTAACAAGAGGGTACCACTTTTTTTCCTTCTCGCTTGCTTACGCTACTCATCATACCTGTTTATATAGCTTCTTTCCAACCTCTAGTCTACGTGAGGTTTTAGATGTCACAGTTTGACATTTATGATGGTAATTACAAATACTGCAGGTTTGCTATCTTATCAGGACCAACAATTCCCATAATTGGAGAGGGTGATGAAGAAGCAAATGATAGGTACTGTTGTTGTGATTTCTTATTTATATTTATTTATTATCATTTACTTTTTCTGTTAGATACAAGGAAACATTCTGCTCTTGATATAATTGTATTCTCTGCTCAAAGTGCGATTGTATATCTTAATTACTCTGGAAGTTCAGAAATACAGTTGATATGATCTAATCAGTTCTAACAGTGCCTAGCTTGTGTTTGTTGCTATGTCTTTGTGACTCCTCCAGCTAGATGTCTTCCTTCTAGTCAATTTTTACTCTTGTTTCTTCCAAGTAACTATGTAATATCTTCATACAATAATAAAACCCACTTTCCAATTTCTATATGTCGTCCTCTTTTTCCTGGAAGAACTAAGATTTATCAAGGATGAAACATCAAGCATTTTTTTTACAGGTACTGATTACTGATTGCACCTTCAATTTATTTACCATGTAATTTCAGTAGAACTGGAATTATCCGATTCGGCCCAAGAGTTCTTAATTTTTTTTATTTTTTTATTTTTTTCTAAAGGAAACCATTTTCATGACATGCATTGAAGTGATGCTTCCCTTATTCCTACTCAACAATATTTGCATTATAATATCCATTACAGTATCATATTTCTGAGAAGTGTGACATAAATCATTCACCTGTTTCATTCATCAGGTATGTCGAGCAACTTGTCGCGAGTGCAGAGGCTGCAGTGGAAGAAGTTATTTGCCGAGGAGTATGTTTCGTTACTTGCAAAATATTTTGTTCACATTTACCAACAAATGACATGTTATATGAATAACCGTGCTTTCCTAGGTGGCTCATCCAGACAAAATCGCTATTGGTGGCCATTCCTACGGGGCCTTCATGACTGCAAATCTCCTAGCTCATGCACCCCATCTTTTCTGTTGTGGGATTGCACGTTCTGGAGCATATAACCGGACACTTACACCATTCGGCTTTCAGGTAGTTGTTTTAATTTTTATTTATTAATATTTTTTTTGCTTTAATGATATATTTCTTAGTCAGGCACTTATTGATTTTTTTTATTTTTTTTAAATTATATTTTTTTCAGAATGAGGATAGGACACTCTGGGAGGCCGTTGGAACCTATGTTGAAATGAGTCCATTCATATCTGCTAACAAAATCAAGAAGCCTATCTTGCTAATCCATGGGGAAGAAGACAACAATTCGGGAACACTGACAATGCAGGTCGGCATATTCTCTTTCGTCTCTAATACTGACAAAAGCAATAAAGGCAATAAAGGCATTTGGTCTCAGGCATCAACTTTCTTTGTATAATGTTACCTTTATCAACTCACACCTCTCTTGCTACACTTTTTACTCTACCCGCAAAATGCAGTCGGATCGTTTTTTCAATGCACTGAAAGGTCATGGTGCCCTTTGTCGGCTTGTGGTACTTCCGTTCGAAAGCCATAGCTATTCAGCTCGGGAGAGCGTGATGCATGTCCTATGGGAAACCGACAGGTGGCTGCAAAAATACTGCGTTTCTAATTCGTCTGATACCAGTGAAGATCCTAAGGCACGTGAAGAGAATGCGAGCCTATCGAGTGTAGAGAGTAAAGCAGTTGTTGCAGGTGGAGGGGTAGCGGAGGATTGCACGGACCAGGAAAATGGAAAAGTCGACATGATACACAGATCCTCATTGTGGTGAACATTCGATCCTCATCCTGACCTCTTCTCTTTGTTTTTAGTTTCTCACGTCTTTCTTTTATTTTTATTTTATTTTTCTCCAGATTGCTGTTGATCTTTGAAGCTGGCAAGTGGATCAAATGTACAACAAGTATATTTAACACAATGCGAAGGATTTAACACAATGCATTGGCATTGACTCGATTAGTCTCGTGCCAGAAATGATCTGGCTGATAAACTGTGTCTGCGAAGGATTTTGCTTTTGATTCATTTGGCACATCTATTGCACTGTTTCAAATTCAGTGGAGTGACAAAATAAGAATAAATAATATGTACTGATGTAATACTACTGCCTATTGTATTGTGCTATTTTGAAACTCATGAGTGTCTACTCTTGTACAGATGGGCTCAGCCAAAGCCAGTAAAGCACGAGCCCTTAACGAGCCGAGACCGTTAAATAAACGAGCTAAATATCGAGTTCAAGTTCGGCTCTTTAAGTCCTCGAATTTGAGTCTTAAAAAGCTAATCTCGAGCTATAATGATTTATATAAAAATTATCTTTTCAATTTTTACGAGAATTATCGAACCGAGCTCGAATCGTTAACCAAACGAGCTTTAAATGAGTTCGAGTTCGATTCATTAAGGCCTCGAGCTCGAGTCAAACTTGAGTCGAGCTAAACCAAGCTTTAATTTAACAGCACTTGGCCCATCCCAACCAATTAGGCTCCCAAACAACAAACCTTCCTCAGTATTATTGTACGAACTCAATTCAGCAGTTCTACTCCGGCGTTGACCTTTTGGGTACCACAACAATCCTTTGAACATTTGCTGTATCAGTGTGATCGACATATTTTCTTTTTCAATTTCATATATTTATCTGTTTCATTTATTTTTCTTCTATTAGCACATATTTTTACAATGCAATTTCTAATAATTACCATTCATTTATCTATAAACATATTCATTTGTATTTGATATTTATTCGTTTGTATAGATTTAAATGTTGATCATTCACTTATTCTCACTTCTCTATCAAATATATATATATATATATATATATATATATAGAGCAATAAATAAAACCTAATTAATAAAACGTTTGTAAATTTTCCGTTCATTTTTTCAGTTAATGTATAAATGTTATACTTTACATTTATAAAGTGTAATGACAATTTAAAACTAATTTATTTTATAATTCTTACTATTAATACCAATTGATTATAATTTTACATTAAATAGTATGTGGAAGTTACATATAAAATATTTTATTGCAATTTTTTTCTCTAAAATACTTTTTCTAAAATAAGATATTTTTGTCATCTTAAACGATTTATTATCTGATATTAGCTAATTGGCATGAGTGTCATAATTAAACACCTTAAAATCACATAAACAATTGCTATAACAATAATAAAAATAATTATAATAATTTTATAACTAATTAATTGTAGGTCCCTCTATTTTACAAAATTATACCGTGGCATCAATGTAAAGATTCATACGTAAGTTAAATAAATTATATTGACGTTATACATTTGCATATAGTCAAAATTTAAAACGTAATACATCTATTATCTTTATAAAAATTTAAATATTGTATACATACATATAATATTATAAATATTTATTCTTCTTTGTGCATGTGCACAGGATAAATACTAGTATATATATAATTGTAGGCTATCTAATTAATGAGATAGTCTATATTTTCCGGCCCATAATTTTTCAGCTACATAAGGCAGCTTTTTTCAATGGAGCTGGAAGAGTCAATGTTGACAATTCTTCTGGCATCGTGCAAATAATGGACTAGATCAAAATGACTCAATTAAATTCTAGTGTTTCTTCTATTAGTGAAGTTTCTAGAAAAAAATATATCAAACGACGCAACGCGCCTTGGGTCGCTATGGAAACAGTCTCCTTGTATAATTACAAGGGTAAGGTCTGCGTACAACTGACCCCCCAGACCCCAACTTGTTTGGGAATATACTGGGTATGTTGATGTTGATGTTGAAGGCAGCTTTTTTCACTTAATTCTCTATAATATTTTTGTTTTCCCGCCCAAATGAATTTTGTGCTACATAAGGTAAGTACTTTTCACTTATTCTACAATCAGTAGCATTTATAATTTTTAAATAAATAATTTTTGTGACTTCTGAAATAATGATGTGGCGTGTATCAATTGGTTACATATTTGAAAATTAATTTTTTTGTCCTTACAAAATATTTGAATTTTATAACAATATATTTTTGCAGGAAAAAAATATATTTACAAGTTAACTTATTATTACATTTTTTCTTTTTATTTTTTTTTCGTGACACAGAAAACAACAAAAATCTAAAACCCAACAAATGCCAAAAAATTACATTTCATGCAACAAAAAACAAATAAATCATAAGATTTTTCAAATAAAATTACATCCAGCAATTTCATAATTCCTCAAATCATAAGAAAAGATTATTAATATTAGTAATATATATACAAACAATTAATTTCAAAAATTAAATAGTTATACCAAAAAAAAAAAATAAAAAAAAATAGCACAATAAAACATACAACCAATAACTGATTTTTGTCATTTACAATTATTTTAGACATCAATATTAATTAATATAAAAGTAATGCAACCCTATACCTTCATAAATAAACAAGGTAATCTTAGTGTCAGTTGACCTACAAGCACTCATATAGATTAGAGTTAGTTTGATCTAAATCAAATTTATAATTATCCTCTTAAATCCTTTTTTTTTTTAAATAGAAAGCCAGTTTCATTTTCATTCTTATAAATATAGAGTCGTAAACGCATAGTCCTACAAATTTCAAAAAAACATACAATAATAAAAGGACCTAAGCGCATATCTGTTTACATCTATTAAAAAATAAAAAAAAAAGTAAAATATCTTTACATATTTGTAGATTTGTAACTATTTTTTTCTATAATATCGTAAAATACCCTAATATTTGCAAAACAAAATTGAATAAAATTTAATAAAATAAATGCTTTCATTTGAAACATATTCTATTGTTCCTACAATAAAATTATTAAAACAAGTTATAAAAATATAAAAAAAAAATCAGAAAATTGTTTGAACACTACAATCGTACCGGGTTTCTATTGTTTAGAACTCAGTAGCAGCTTCAAAAATTCAAAACACTGTTTGAACACCACACTTGTACCAGGTTTCTATTGTTTAGAACTTGGTAACAACAAAAAAAAAACTAGAAGAAGATGTAAACCAAAATTTGCGAAGATGTATTCGCCAAATTTCACTGGTTTCTAACATTTTAGAAACGGTAGCCGAAAATCGTGTTGAAATTTTGTCTATATAGAATCCTTTAGGATACTTTTTTGATATTAAAACCCTTAAAATTTTCAGGGTTTATTTGTACATAGATCTTGATCAATATCTTCGACGTTGATAAATTAAAAGCATGTCTACGACGACTAAACAAGATCGGAATCAGTCCAAGTGTTTGTCTTCGATGAGAAAAAAAAAATTAAAAGTGAAGTAGAAAACGGCGAAAGTGTTGCAGGTGGTAGGGTTTCAGACATTAAGGGGGTTATTGGATATGAATTCAACTAGTAAAAAATTAGTTATTTTTTAACTATAGTTAAGTTTGAAAAAAAGTAGTATGGTTAGTTGATAGTGGATATATTAAAATAATTAAAGTTGATTTGATGTAAAAGTAAGAGAAATTAATTGGAATTGATGATTAGTTAAAATTATGAGTTGATGAATAGTGAATTAAAGTTGATGTGATTTGTAATAATGATTGGTTGATATTATTTAATTATATTGATAATATTGAAGATAGTGGAATTGAGTTAAATTTGAGTTTTGATTGGAATATTTACTGTACAATTCATATACAATCACGCCCTAAATACTTGCCTCTGTCACCTTCTTGAATGTTCTATATTTGTATGGTGGATAATACTTTGATCGTGCTATATTGTTCGTGCATTTGAGTTATGTTTAATTTGGCCCAAATTTGGGCCTAACATAAAAATGAATTAGAAACAATGAACCATCAGCCTTGATATTACTAAATTCGGTTCAACCAGAATTTATTTGACCCAGTTTTGGGTTCGAAGTTAGAAAAAAATATTACTGTTGATTTTG